TTTTCGTCCAAAAAAAGCGTCTTAAGGTCGCATGCAATGAGGGCATTCTCAAATTGAGTGCTCACGCTCATACAACTGCTTCCTTGACTGCATTTTGTCGTTTCTTAGCTGAAAGCCTGCATTTCTGAAATGAATGTTCAGCAAGCATCTTCAGTGGCTTTTCCTAATTCTTCAGCACTAAAACCGGGCTCCACGGACAGACCTCGATGTATTTAACAAGCGCTGGAAGCATTTTATGTCCAATTTAAAGACAAATTCGCCTACATGACGCTCGACTTCCTGGTGTTAAAACAACACATGGCAAAGCTTTTTTCACACCGACTTGCTTATACGAGCCGCTAAAGAGTCCGCATATGGTTAATGAGTTCTACATGTGCAGCTCGTCCAGAAAGTGCCCGTTTTCCACCGTGAATACCTGATTGAGTGGGGTTTTGGGCCGATAATGAACTGGCCATCCCGATCACCGGATTTAGATTTCAGGTTGAGTTGGAACGTGGCAACACAATGATTTATTTCGGTGTTTCTTAGATCGGAGCGGTGCATTTTTGGCACCGAACTGATTGGCAATGACAGCGAATGCTTCGGAAAGGTTTTGTTTATTCATGCGAGCACTTTTTGCCTGAAGACGATTTTCCCAGTCAACAGGAGTTTGTAGGTCGATCGCAGGCGTCTCTATGGATGAGGACTCGACTGCTACCAATCGCAATTCAATGTCGTCGCGCAGCCAGTTCTTCGCTATAAATTACGAATCGCCTCGAAAAAAGTGAAAATATTAGAAAACTTCGCTTATATAATCCGGGTACGACTTCACATAATAAAATCGGTATAATAAAAGTGGTATTTTAAGTGTGCCAAGGTGGTTCTGTGAAACGCTTGCGCTTCTTGAACCGGCGCCTTAACATGTTGCCGATTTGCAGAAAACCACCTCGAATCCCACATTTGCATCTTACATAATAACAGCAAGTACTTCGCTTCTTTTGTGCGTGTGTTGCTGTGCCAAAGGAGCCAATTTGCACCATTTGATTTATTTGCCCAAAACTTCCCCAATGCACTGTACGCATGGGGATCGATTAATTATTAATTATAAATAGTGTTTTAAATAATTGGTGATCAATGTTATCGCTAGTCTGTCTGGTGCCTTGATTTCATGAATGCGACACGTGGCCTTTCCGATAAGAAGCCGCGTGTAAATAAGTTAAAAAAGTTCTTCTGGGTATCAAGCTCAAGTGGTTTCTTCGGCCTTTTTTTCGGTTTATTGTGCGCCAAATGTCCCAAACTCCTCAGCCAATCAGCATCAGGACTAGAAGTTTTCCGGAAAAAATCGGCTCATAATTCCAATAACCTGCTGGTGTTTTTGAAGATTCGTTACAATCTAGGCCTTGACAACAGCCAAGTCAGGTTGTTTTTTGTACCAAGCGATCGCCCGGTTACAAGATTGTAGTTTTATGGGTAAATATTTTGAAAATCGATCTCTATTTAATGGCTTTCTGTGCTTTGATCCGATGTCAACACAGCATGTGATCTGGATATGCTTCTAAAGGTCGTGTCTTCTCAAGTGAACCTGGACTCACTTCTTCTCCCCAACTTTCATTAGTTGCTTTCTTCAATAGATCCCGCATAGGAAGGAAGAACTGATGAATTTCGCTTGGGTTGTGCAGCTGGATCCTTCAACCCCCATTCAACTCCATTTCTGTTGAATCAAAGAAACCCCCAACCTACAGGAAGTTAAATTTCCCCTGGGTTCTTTGCTTTGTTGGCATTTCTTTCGACCAAGCAAAGCTGGTGAAGTTACGGCATTTCCGCAGCTAAAGGATGCCGATCTAAACAAAGAATGATTTAATTTGCCGACAGGAAAGTAAAAGTAAATCGCAGCGTTGCCAATTTGCATGGCAGTACCATCCATGGTACCGAAACTAGCTGAACGATCCAATGGGGTGCTTTGGCCGCATTTTGCCATTTGGCCGCCTGGTTTTTTTAACACGCTAAAGTATGCATCGAGTAAAAATGGTGTCAGCGTGCATAAAATTGTATATAAATAAGCGGCTCCGAGAATAGATCGAATTAATTTACAGCTGTTTACAATGCATCCACTCTATTTTTACCTAAAATCCAGTCAAATTTAGGCCAAGATAGTGATAACGATAGTGGCACGAACGAACGGTGCCGGTTATCTGGAGATTAAACACGTAAACGATCAAACAAGACATGAGTTTATTAAGGAATTTTATCCGAAAAGGCAAGGAAAAAATGGGTAAAAGTTAGACAGGTTTTGCAGAACCTTGGGGAGAGTTTGAAAAACTTGATAACTGTGAGTTGGTTGGTGTTAAGCCTACGCGAATCCTGCAAGCAAACTGCGCCGATGGGTGGCGATAATTGGCCGGCAGCAGGCGAATAGAAAATCCCTATAAGGATCAATGAAAAATTGAAAAAATCTTCCTATGCAAATTTACTACCGTTTTTTAATTGGGCGTAAATGGGCATGATGCATTCTTAATCGCTATTTATGCATTCACACCTTGGTTCATTGAAAAATCCAGTAGCGGACTGGGAAAAATTACCTGCTTTTCAGCTTCAAATTTAATCAGCAGTGCCAATGAGGAAAACTGATTTAATGGTTTGGAACAACAACGCACGAAATCAGTGCTTAAAGGTTAAATTGGCGTTGTAAAACTACTTTGCTGAAGTTGTGCCGAGCCCTCCGGGCACGACATTGTTCTAGAACAGAAAACACACCAAAAATGACCAGGGTTGAGTTAATTTCTCACCTACAGTGCGGCGATAACAACGCACTAAACCAGTGGTTAAAAGTACAATTAGCGTTCTAAAACCACTTTGCTGAAGTTGTGCCGAGCTGTCGGGGCACGACACTGTTCTAGAGCTGAAAACACACTAAAACTGTCCAGTGTTGAATTATTTTCTAAGTTACAGTGTCGCGATTTAATGGTTTGGAACAACAACGCACTAAACCAGTGCTTAAACGTTAAATTGACGTTCTAAAACCACTTTGCTGAAGTTGTGCCGAGCCCTCCGGGCACGACACTGTTCTGGAACTGAAAACACGCTAAAACTGTCCAGTGTTGAGTTACTTTTTCACTAACACTATCGCGCATTAATGGTTTGGAACAACAACGCACTAGATCAGTGTTTAAAGGTTAAATTGGCGTTGTAACACTACTTTGCTGAAGTTGTGTCGAGCCCTCCGGGCACGACACTGTTCTGGAACTAAAACCACACTAAAACTGGCCAGTGTTGGGTTAATTTCTCACCTACAGTGCCCCGATTTAATGGTTTGGAACAACAACGCACTAAACCAGTGCTTAAAAGTTAAATTGGCGTTCTAAAACCACTTTGCTGAAGTTGTGCCGAGCCCTCCGGGCACTACACTGTTCTGGAGCTAAAACCACACTAAAACTGGCCAGTGTTGAGTTAACACAGTTGTTGGTAGTGTTTAGCATAATTTAACCATTTAGCACAATCAGTGCTAAATGGTTAAATTGGCGTTGTAAAACTACTTTGCTGAAGTTGTGCGGAGCCCTCCAGGCACGACACTGTTCTAGAGCTGAAAAAACGCTAAAAGTGCCCAGTGTTGATTTAATTTCTAAGTTACAGTGTCGCGATTTAATGGTTTGGAACAACAACGCACTAAACCAGTGCTCAATGGTTAAATTGGCGTCGTAGCACTACTTTTATGAAGTTGTGCCGAGCCCTCCGGGGACGACACTGTTCTGGAGCTGAAAACACGCTAAAACTGTCCAGTGTTGAGTTACTTTCTCACTAACACTATCGCGTATTAATGGTTTGGAACAACAACGCACTAAATCAGTGTTTAAAGATTAAATTGGCGTTGTAACACTACTTTGCTGAAGTTGTGCCGAGCCCTCCGGGCACGACACTGTTCTGGAACTAAAACCACACTAAAACTGGCCAGTGTTGGGTTAATTTCTCACCTACAGTGCCACGATTTCATGGTTTGGAACAACAACGCACTAAACCAGTGCTTAAAAGTTAAATTGGCGTTTTAAAACCACTTTGCTGAAGTTGTGCCGAGCGCTCCGGGCACGACACTGTTCTAGAGTAAAACACATACTAAAACTGTTCAGTGTTGAGTTAACACAGTTGTTGGTAGTGTTTAGCACAACCACGCACTAAATCAGTGCTTGCAATTTATATTGTCGTTGTAAAACTTGTTTGATGAAGTTGTGCCGAGCCCTACGGGCACGACACTGTTCTAGAGCTGAAAACACACTTAAATTTCCCAGTGTTGAGTTAATTTCTTATCTACAGTACCGCGATTTAATGGTTTATCAGTGCTTGCAGTTTAAATTAGAGATGTAAAAGTACTTTAATTAATTTTGATGTAGAGTCTACTGCACTTCTACAGTGCGGTGCTTAAAGGTTTGGCACAACTACACACTTAATCACTTCAGAACATGAGAGTCCTGCCCTGCATCAGCAATATACTACTTGATTCTGTTCTTAATTAGAAGTTAATTATTATAAAACGAACCTCAACTCTGGTTTTCCGGATATTGAATTTTTCCTCGACGTTTCGAACCAATTCATTTAATTCTGTGCATATTAATTAATGTAAATGACTGAATAGTCGAATGCATTGACATGTATATCGGTTAATTATACAGTTCTTTTATATCCCAACTGAGTGCTGTTGAAGGAAACTGTTAGGAGTAGGCAGGCAATGATTCATGTGGCATTTAACAGTACTTTGTTTTGTCTTCGGTCAACCTGCTCTGGAAAAGCGTGGAAAGTCTTCACCGGGAATATGGGAAGAAATTATTTGCAACTGAAAATCCGCTTGGTTCTAAGGAGACTTTGAGGCATTTTTGAACTTTTGGAGAATTTCCACTAGTGTCCAGGTTGTTTCTGCAAGACAAGCAGCGCCCCCTGAAGACAACAGTAGCCGAAAACAGTGATTTTGATGGCTTTTTCAGTATCGCCAGTGGACGTCAGCCCACTGAGGAAAATCAAAATATTATATTCTAGAGGTCGCTTGAATCTGACTCCGGTTATCGGGTGTTATTTATTGTTTTGCGATTACAATTATTATTTGAAATTAAACCAGCTATTGAGTGTGTAAGTAAAAAGCCTTGAGATGACGAATGTTCGGACATTGCTGACATTAAACATGCTTGTTTTCGGTTGATATAAGTTGAAAGCCCTCGTCCATCAGCGATATGCACATTATATAAACAAGTAGCCGGTGTTTCAATGACAAGAAGATCGGATTAATTTTTTTCTGTGTGTCCAACACTGATTGTGGAATCGATGGAAAAACACTCACAGCGACCAAAAGGAAACATTGAAAATGACCGGAATGATCAAGTTTAAAACGAGCTCAAAAACAGTTTACTTGACGAACTGCTCACCTTTGGTGTAACCCAGATGTTGTCAACAAATCTGAATGGAAACATTTGATCTTTTCCTATCTGGATTATTTATTGCATGCTTGCTTTGTTGGCTTTTCGGGTTTTAATCTATTGTGCGGAAATTTCCGGTTATTTGCAGTTTGCCGACTACTACCGCATGCAACTAAGAGGAATTTGGACCATCCTAAGTCTCTTCAGTTTCTCTTCAAGGGAACAACAAAGATTTTCGATTTGCACTTCACAGCCGGCAAAATTCCATTTTTGCTTGTACAAGAAGGACCGCAACCGACAATAAAACAAACCAATTAATCTCCTACAAAGTAGTGAGCAACAAAGTGAATTTTGGCTAATCGTCGCTGATTGCATCGATCGGATCGATCAATTATGATCTTTTCAATTTTCGTTATGTAACTTTAATTCGATTACGATCTTGTGAAACTGGCGGCGTGACAATTGGCGCATTTAACATGCCTTTGCCTAATTAATTCGGATCGCTTAACAGCACAAAATCGGGTTATGGACCGAAACGATGCCACTGGAAGGCGTTTTCGAATCCAAAGCGAGTTTACGCAAATCGATTGGACGTTTCGTCGAACATCAATGTCATTTTCCCCTTTCCCAACCAGGCATGGAGCGTTTGGAGGAACTTTTCCTTGGGGCGGATGGGGAGTCATCAAAAACCAGCCTCTCACTAGGCACAGAAGACGCAGCTGGACAGCTTGAAGCGCGAGCAGAAGCATCCAAAGAGAGTGAGGAGCGGCCCCAAGCCTCTGCTGCATATGCGTATGAATAAGCCTGCACATCCACACTGAACAGTGGAGTTATTTGGGGCGATCTCCAGGTTTAGAGAGCCGGGGAGCGACTTCATATTCCTGCCCAATCGAAGCAGTGACGCCTTCAAAGGATTTGGGGTTACGGACAACTACAGGCTGGAAACTGGTCGCCCACACCCGCAGGTAGCGCCAACTTCCACATCCCAGAAAACCCCAATCGCGCCCTTCCAGGTAACATTTTCCTTCACTGAAATCGAGGAGACGCAACAGAGAAGCCCCCAAGGCTCCCTGGAGCCTTCAGTTGCCCGCGCATCAGCCCCAATCGTCCGATACTCCTTCGTGAGGGAAAAGCCTTCATGCAGCCAAGCTCAGATCCTCACTCTATCCCAGAACACCATCAAAATCAGCGAAAACAGCTGCATGGAAGTGAATCGCTCCCAGGACCTGGAAGAGGAGCTTTGGGAGATGAAGCAGGGGCACATGATATCCAGTGTCCTCACGCGCGCTCCGTAAGCAGCTTCAGCTTCAGCCTCCTCTGGGCTTCCCCAGCTACATTCCTTGCTAGGCTTGCCCCAGCAGCTGGAACGGATCCACCCCATCCCAGTTCATTTTTGCAGGGCTTTAGGCCAAACCAGGAGGCGCAGGGGGAGCAGTTGAAGTGCGGCGACTTTCTGAGTCCGGTTGCAGCGGCCGATCTGTTCATCACCAACATGATCAAACGCGCAAAAGGTCAGCAACGCGCTCCAGATAATGCAAAATAATGCTGGATTGAATGCAGCTGAGCACCGGAAGTTGATCGCCCTCTATGGGGACCCGGACAGATGGAAGGCTTCCGCCCCAGAAGTCGCCTACAAGCTGGCGCCGTCACTTTGGCCCCCCATCGGACACTTCAGCGAGAAACTGGGGCTGTTTTGCGTTGAAAACTACATTCTGACCAGGAGCCGGTTGCTGGAGGATTGGAGGTACACCATAAGCTACCAGGGAGCGCAGAGCGACTCTGTGAGCGACCATCATTACTATCAGGTGATTTGCCCCGTTCTCCATGTGGGTCTGATTGGATAAGTAAGAGGAAGTTTAGGTCGAGTTTGGATTGCCGAGTAAACTCTATCCGGTCCCGCAAGCGACTGCAAGCGTGCATTTCTACATGGAGGTGAGCCGAGTGATTCCTCACGAATGCCCTGTCAAGGTACTGGCTGCGGAACCTCGGAGGAAAGAGGGTTGAGTGTGAGGGCATGTTCTTAGGTGTTATTGCGGCCGGAAACAGCGCACTTCAGAAGCGATCCACAGCGGTTTTCTTTGAACGACTACACGCTGCTAAACACGATGAACATGAAACTCCATCACTTCAGGGAGCTGCAGTTTTAAGCAACTTTGGTTGTCTCGAGTTTGTAAGGGAATAAATTGTAACTTTGACTAAATATCTATTACAGACGATTAAAGATCCGAATTATTCAGAAAACATCGCATACTTTTTGCGCTCTGGTCTATCTCATATTGCCCGCATAAGCAAACATGAGTTTTTGGACAAAATTGGACTTTTTTCCCAAAAAGTGATTACTTTTGTGCAGCAAACTTTGTCCTAGAAATGGTTTTAATTTGTATACAAAATGCGAAAATTCTAGATTAACGCGAGTCTTCAGCATCGCTCTTATTCGTTGGCTCGTTTTATGAAAACCGCTTGAGCTACGAAACTCTAGGTTTCATTGCGAGGTCGAGGGTTAAATTGCCGACTTTTACGTACTAAATATTCTTATTAAAATGTTGTTAGTTTTCACGCAAAACGGGAAAATTCAATATTAATGAGAATGAGATAGAGAGTTCAATTGCAAACTTTTTCGTAGTAAACATTGTTTTAGACCTGCTTTTAGTTTTTATGCAAAATGCGAAAGTTCGAGATTAAAGCGAGTCTTCAGAATCACTCTTATTTGTTGAGCTTCGAAACTTTAGTTGTCATTTCGAAATAGAGTTAAATTTCTCACATTTTTATACCAAACGTTGTTCTAGAAATGTTTCTGGTTTTGATGAAAAATTCAGGGTTAATGCGTGTTTTTAAAACCGCTCTTATTTGTTGGCTCAGATTTAGAGGACTGATTGAGCGACAAAACTCCAGTTTTCTTTGCGAGATAGAGAGTTGAATTGTCCACTTTTTTCTATCAAACATTATTCTAGAAATGTTTCCCGTTTTAGTGCAAAACGCGAAAAATTCAAGATTAATGCGAATCTTCAGAATCGCTCTTATTTGTTGGCTCGTATTAAAAGAACCGGTTGAGTTACGAAGCTCTACTTTTCATTTCAAGATAGAAAGGTAAATTGTGTACTTTGCATACTAATCATTGTTCGAGAACTGTTTTAAGTTTTCACGTAAAATGCGCAAGTTCAATATTAATGCAAGCCTTCAGAACTGCTCTTACTTGTTGGCTCGTGTTAAAAGAACCGGTTGAGCTACGAAACTGCAGTTTTTATTTTGAGATAGAGAGTTAAATTGGGCACTTTTTCGAACCAAACATTGTTCCAGAAATGTTTCTAGTTTTGATGCAAAATGTAAAAATTCAAAAATAATGCCTGTCTTTAAAACCGCACTTATTTGTTGGCTCAGATTTAGAGAACCGGTTGAGCCACGGAACTCCAGTTTTCCTTGCGAGAGAGAGAGTTAAATTTCCCAGTTTTTTCCATAAAACATTATTCTAGAAATGTTTCAAGTTCTCGCGCAAAACGCAAAAATTCAAGATTAATGCGAATCTTCAGAATCGCTCTTATTTGTTGGCTCGTCTTAAAAGAACCGGCTGAGCTTCGAAAATCTACTTTTCATTTCAAGATAGAAAGTTAAATTGTGTACTTTGCGTACTAACCATTGTTTTAGAAATGTTTTAAATTTTCACGTAAAATTCGCAAGTTCAATATTAATGCAAACCTTTAGAACTGCTCTTATTTGTTGGCTCGTGTTAAGAGAAACGGTTGAGCTACGAAACTGCAATTTTTATTTCGAGATAGAGAGTTAAATTGAGCACTTTTTTGAACCAAACATTGTTCCAGAAATGTTTCTAGTTTTGATGCAAAATCTAAAACTTCAAGATTAATGCGTGTCCTTAAAACCGCACTTATTTGTCGGCACATATTTAGAGAACCGGTTGAGCGACAAAACTCCAGTTTTCCTTGCGAGATAGAGAGTTAAATTGCCCACTTTTTACTATCAAACATTATTCTAGAAATGTTTCAAGTTTTCGCGCAAAACGCGAAAAATTCCAGATTAATGCGAATCTTTAGAATCGCTCTTATTTGTTGGCTCGTCTTAAAAGAACCGGATGAGTTACAAAACTCTACTTTTAATTTTAAAATATAAAGTTAAATTGTGTACTTTGCATACTAACCATTGTTCTATAAATGTTTTTTATTTTCACGTAAAATGCGCAAATTCAATATTAATGCAAGCCTTCAGAAATGCTCTTATTTGTTGGCTCGTGTTAAGAGAACCGGTTAAACTACGAAACTGCAGTTTTGGTTTCCAGATAGAGAGCTAAATTGGGCACGTTTTTCAGCCAAACATTGTTCAAGAAATGTTTCTAGTTTTGATGCAAAATGCAAAAATTAAAAAATAATGCGTGTTTTTAAAACATCACTTATTTGTTGGCTCATATTGAGAGAACCGTTTGAGCAACAAAACTGCAATTTCTTTTTCGAGATAGAGAGTTAAATTGGGCATTTTTTTTGTAGCAAAGATTAACCTATAAGCGTTTTCAGTTTTAATGCAAAATGCCCTAATTCAAGATTAAAACAAGCCTTCAGACCCGTACTTATTCGGGGACTCGTATTTAAGAAACTGCTTGAGCGACGAAACTAGAGTTTTCATTGCGCCATAGAGCGTTCAATTGCGCAGATTTTTGTATCAAACATTGTTCTAGAGATGTTTTTCGTTTTTATGCAAAATGCGAAAATTTACGATTGATGCGATTCTTAAGAATCGCTCTTAATCGTTACAGCGCGTATTCGTTGGCTCATATTTAGAAAACCGGTTGAGTGTCAAAACTCTAGTTTCCATTGCGAGATAGAGAGTTAAATTGCGTACTTTTTTGTACGAAACATCGTTCTTGAAACGTTTGTCGTTTTCATGCAAATGCGCAAATTCGTTGGCTCGTATTTAGAGAACCGCTTGAGCTACACAACTCTAGTTTTAAGCCCAACAAATGGATTATTGACAAATTAGTGTTTTTCAACAGTTACAAAACCATCATAAAATCGATCATGTTATTTTCACGTATCCAAATCAATGACGTTCTTCGTGTTATTTAAATAGTTATCAATCGTTGACGCAACAATGGCTATTTATGGCCATCAGAGGGGCTTGTCCATGTTTATCCACAATATCTGGGTTGTGATATTTTCGAAAAAAATGCCAATCAACCGAAGACTGACGTCGCAAATCGACAATTTACAATAATAAAAGCCTTGTTTTGTGATGGCAAACACGTCACTCGAGTCATTGCAATTATTGTTGTTGTTAAGGGCCAGTTTTCAGTTGTTTGTCTGGACAATGGGAAAGTGATTGATTTTTTATCTGGGCACGTGTGAATATTAAAAAGAAATTACTTTTCTTATCACGCACATGTCAGACGAGGAACAAAACCTCATATTAGCCGAAAAATTGCAACAACACTTAAACGCTATAAATAGCTTTTTATTTATTAAAATTCAGCGCAATGTTTTTCTGCAAGGAAAGCACCTGATTTTATTTGAATGTTGCATTGAATTGCACTTTTTTTCGGATCCTCCCTTTCAACACCTGCAGATTATTAGGCCTGTTTACAAATACTTTCGGGTTGAGGTTGCCCCACAGAAAAAATCCAGCGGAGTTAAGTCTGGCAATCTGGTAGGCCCTGGTGGAGTACGAAAAAAAGGTACATGGATCTCGAATATGATCGATAAACAGTTGTGTTGTTTGAGGGTAAATTGTGATCGTTTTCCAGAATCTTATCGTAATCCTGATTACGTGCCACCACACCACCATGCGCAAAATTGCTGAAAAACACACAAACAAATTGACTAAGTGTGCAAATATTATTCGACTAATCCACGTACATACTTATTTTTCACTTTGTCTCCTAGATAGTGAATATGCGCATGTTTCGGAAACAATTCCTTTTTCTATTACAATGTGTTGATCTCCCACTATGCAACCCTTAACTTTTTTCTGTTCTGCACAGATCAGGGATTTTCTTATGATTTTCTGTTCCACTCCGCGCTTATCGGCTGTTAATGTTAATAAACGACAGTAGGAAATGATCCATATTCATCGGAAAGATCATGGCTATCGACATTACAGTACATTAACTTTTTCGTGCTCGATTAAGACTTTTCGTTTTACTAAGCTCGGAACGGATGAATTAGATGCCGATATCGTAAATGGGGACTTATTTCGAGTTCGTAAGGTCAATAATCAGGAATAGAGCGTGATTCTTGATTGTGCGTCATTCGTTCATATTGGAGGACTGAAATCGTCCAAAACTGGGAAACTGTTGCGGTTTTAAACCCTCTAGGCGATGTTCGAACTCATTGGGTTTTTGAGTGAGTTTTTGTCGTTTGAAACCTGCAGCCAACAGCAGAATTAGGCGAGCAAAATGAACCGAAATCGATAAACTAGAAGTGTCGGTGCTTGGAGGTCAAAAAAAGAGGGCCCGCGCGGCCATTGGACTATAACTGTTAAAAGTTCATTCGGTTCGTTCCGAAAGTTGCTCTATTCTTCTTCTAAAAAAATGCTGCATGGCCTCACCTTGCTGGTTGTTGACCTTTTTCTTTTTATGCATCTGATGCAGCCTCACCGTTGCCTTGATGGGGCCACCAAACGTCGAACTCATCCACTTCTTCGCCCGGCTCGCGTTTGTCATGCAAAAATCCGTTTGCTTCTTCATCTTGCAAAATCAATAACAATACAATTAATGAAATCCCAAGCGCTTTTAGCCTGCCCTTGATTATTTTTTTAATCAAATCCAACTTGTGTCTAAGGATGACTGGAATGCGAAAAAAATTGCCAGGATTGAGCGTATTTTTATATACACGTTAGATATTTGGGTTCGTCTTCTCCCATTTACTTCCAACCCAGTGATTTGCAGCAATTTTTCGAGTCCGGAGCAAAAATAAGTGCTTTAATCGCGTTCGACTCAACGTTTCACCCACACATTTGGACCAACTTTGCAACTGGATAAGTTCTGAATTCTGAAAGTTATTTAACGAAATTTTTTGTCCGTAAAGTAACCACTCTCTGCCTCCTAATGGAAGCTATAGTTATGTAGCTCAAAAGCTCTTCTAAATGCGAACCAACGAATAAGAGCGGTGCTGAAGACACGCAGTAATCTTGAATTTGCGATTTTTGCGCGAAACCTACAAACATTTCTACAATGATGTTTTATACCAAAGCACGAAAACTAGAGTTTCGCCGCTCTAAATACAAGGTGGACGCATATTTTG